AAATAATAAAAAAAGGGTCCGGTATGGAAATATTTTTGGCAATTGATATGTGCTGCCATCTGTCGTTTAAAACTGTAACTGAGTTCTTCGTTATCTAAACATTAAAAAATTTATATACTGTACATTATGAAGTATTTGATAAATATTTAAAATATAAATATTAAAAATTAGTTTATTAAAACTTTAAAAAATTAAATAATGTTACACTTTTATTTAATTTCCTTTAATGTTTAATGTTTTAATAATAATTTAAAAATATTAAGAAAAGAAAATACTTTTTTCTTCCTTCTGTTTTCTATCGTATTAAAAATGTGATAAAAGCTTTTAAATAAATAATATTTATTAAATATTATTTATATATACAATTATAAGACATTTTATTATTATTAACTTTTTTATTTTTCTAATATTAAATTTTGATTTTTGAGTAAATATTTAACAATTTTTACATTATTTTTATTTTTTCGTTATATTTTTCTTTGTTTTAAATATAATGAATCTGTTCTCAGTAATTCATTGGTATATAAGATGAGATTTGATTTACACATAAATTAATAGCAAAAATATAATTACCAATCAAGATACTAAGCCAAAACTAAAAATAATTAATTTTTAAACGTTATTAATGTTCAATTTTATCACAAAAATCACAGAAATTTAATAAAAAAAAATATTATAAATGATTTTTGTAATAATTAGAAAGCTTATTTTCTTCTTATAACACGTAAAATATAGTAATATAATTTACGATGCATAAAAATCAATATAAAAAAAGTTTTATCATATTTAAATACATTTTTTTTATTTTATATTGCACATAATAAAATTCCTTTGAGTAATTCACACGTGTGCGGACTTATAATACCTTTAAACATATAAATATTAGAATAAATTATTACTATACACAATATTTTAAGCCAAAAATGCGAATAAGAATAATATTATTATTAATGTATAAAATACAATTACCGATGTGTATTATTAAATTTCGATTTAAATCTTTAAAAAAAACTTACTTTTTATTAAATAATGGTGTAATTTACCTTAAATTATGGATTTAAAAGTATACTTAACGTTAAAAAACTTTATAACTGTATATAACCCGCACGAGTTATTAATATAATTTAAGTGAAAGAGTAATCAGCAGAAAGGAAGTTTATATAAATTTACTTATATATGTTTATTTACGAATATAAAAATGTAATTTATAGTGCATAAAAATCAATATAGAGCTTTGCCATATTTAAACGTACTTTTTTTTTTTAATTTTTAAATTACTCTAGATAATTCGCACGTATGCATATTTATAGTATCTTAAAAAGGTAGAATAAACTATAATTACACACAAGATTTATAATAGAAAATGCAAATAAGAGGAATATAATTCATATTATGTTTGAATTAAATAGAAAAAAGTTATTTATTTTATTAAAAAATACTATAATTTACATTAAATAAGGGATGTGAAAGAAGCATTCAGCATTAAAACTCCGTAACTGTGTATAACGCGCACCAGTTATTAATATAATTTAAGTGGAGACGTAATGAACTGAAAGGAAGTTTATACAAATTCACTTATATAAATACTTATAAAAAAGGATAGAAATAAAAAATAAATAAAGGAGAAGAGGAGGAGGAAGAAGAAGAAGAAGTCAGTTAGCAGTTTATTCCCATTTCTAGCTCGGCCATTAAAGTAGTAAGAAGGAGAAGGAAGTTTTTGTATAGAGTAAACGATGGATCGAAAAAGGGTCGAATTATTCAATCAAGGATACTTCTTGCAATTGCAAGAGTTACATGTTTTGTGGTGCATGGAGGCTTTGCTAAACTAATCAACTACAGACAAATAGGCAGTAATGAAGAATGAAGAATTGCTAGCTCGCATCTTCCTTCCCCCTTTGGGAAATTGGGAAGTCAGAAGCTAATTTCAGTGTGATGAATGATACCAGAAGGAGAAACTCTCCAACTCTGGCTCGTTACTTGATCCTTTCTATCGAATTATGTCTTAATATATTAATGTATCTCACATACTATTAAACGTTTAAAGTGGTCTCATTTCTCAGTTTTTATTAGGTATAATTTTTTCTAATTAAGATAAAAATTTTATAGTAATTAATTCACTTATTTAACGTTTGAATTTCTTGTTTATAAAAAAAAAGAAATAGAAATTATTTCTTTAACAAGTCTGCAAAGAAAAAAATTCGATAATTCCTGCAAATCTTTCTTCAAAAATTATGTAAAATTTAAATCGGTAATATAACTGATGTGTATAAAACTAAACTTAAATAATTTTTAACTTATTTTGAGTAATTTGACTTAAAATTATATTTATATTTTAGCTTAAAAATTAAATATTATTAATTCAGATTTTTGAATTTTTAAGTGATCTCGCCATGTATTGTATAAATAGAACACTAACTGGTTTAAATTTATCAACAAAATGCTGCATTTGAAAGCAGGTAAAGTGTGGAACGAAGGTAAAAAGAAACGGTAACAGGTGGCATTAAATCATAAGAGCAATCACTTTCGACTATAATTAGTTATCGTATTATTTAGTTAACTTAACGCAGTGATTGACACCTCTCTAGAGGATTAGAGAGTGGACAGATCGGCTCCTCCGCATCCCATGGGGAAAAGGGAAGAGA